AATCCACTTCTGAGGGGGAAGATGAGCTGTTAGCTGTCATGTGGGTGCTGGGAACTGAACCCAGGTCCTCTGCAAGAGCAGCCAGTGCTTGTAATCACTGACCCATCTCTTCAGCTCCCAAAATAAATATTTTTAAAAACCACATGATTTAAAATTCCCCATTTTACCACTGATTGGTTAATATGTTTGCTTTAGTCTTCTTACCCCACCCCCATCAATCACCACACTGAAAAGAAGCACACACCATCTGTTTTAAGACATTTTACTTTATTTAAAAGAAGCCAATATACAGGCTATAAAGGGCACAATATTTACAACAGTACAGTAAACAGGTTGGTTCCCAGTAGGATCAGTAGTCTTTCCGTGAATACAAACCCCTCCCCAATGATATTAGACCCAGCTGACACAGCAACCGAGGGGTAGGGCAGGACTAAAAACCAGATAGATGCTAAAATGTGCATAAGGGGTCATGGTGGGGACTTTGCCTCATGTCTCTGAGAGCTTGGGAGGACACAGAAATGGGGAAGTTGCCCAAGACTCACACTACCCACGCTGAGCCAGACAAGCCCCTCCCAGAGACAGTGTTTGACTTTTCCCCAGACCCCTCACAGGCTCCAGACTCCCCACTCCTCCCTCTAGGAGCATGTCCTTCAAGAGCCAAGCTTGGAGTCCCAGAGGGAAGACCCAGGTATGAGGAATCCCTCCAACACCCTGGTCCTTCATCCAGGGTTCAAGGATTGCAAGCCCAGGCCTTGGCCAGGAGTAGATACAGCCAGGGCTGAGCTCTGAGCATCTCAGCCCCTTTACTCCTGCCCCAGCTGCCTGACAGCCTCAGGCACACTATGGCCCAGGCCCCAAAGAGGTCCTGTGCTCCCTAAGCCCACAGTTGCACTGCTAACCCCACCCTATGTGTCTCAACCCTGTCCCTACAGAGCTTGAGTGGGAAGTTAAGTCTTGCCAGAGGGAAGCTGGGGTAACTAATCAGTGCCTACCCTCTGAAACACCTCCCCAACCTCAATTCTGAATTCCCTACAGCCCACCTGCCCCCAACAGAGCTCCTTCCCAAGACTTCCAAGGAGCTGAGGGACGAGGGAAGGAGAAAAGAGATGAAGCAGGGCCTCACCTCTACTGAAGCTGCTTCTGCTCCAGCTGTGTGTGGATGATCATGAAGATGGAAGGCGAGGTGGAGAGGGGTACCATTATAATACATCCCACGGCAATGTGTCTGGGGTCACCCACAGCAAAATGCCGGGCCACCATGACTGCCTACACTAGATTAAAAAAATCCTTTCTTTTCATAAAAATAGATGAGTCTCTTGCTTTATAAATAGAGGACATTTAGTTTACGTTATACCTTATCTTAGCCCCGTAGCCAGCCCCCTCTCCTCCCACCCCAAAGTCAAGGTGGCTTGACTCTCCACAAGCCATCTGAGCTCTATCCCAAGGTCCAAGGTGGACAGGCCTTCCAGATACACTGGCATGGGGAGCAAAATACGTCTGTTTCCCAACCATTTTTCTCCTTTGAAGTCTCAGAGGAGTGTGAGGACTGTGTGTGTGTGTGTGTGTGTGTGTGTGTGTGTGTGTTTCACAACCAAGCAGGGACCTGAAAGGAGCCATCTTCACTGCTGCACCCCAATCCTGTGTATATAAACCCCCCAAAACTAGGAGAGTGACAGAGAGCAGCACGGAGAGAGCCCATCTGAGAACAGTCCTAAAACACCAGTGTCAATATGACACCAGACTCAGAAATAGAAAACCCCCCCAAAAAAGTATTTACAGCTTTACAAGGATGGGCCAGTTCAGCCCAACTGGGCAGGTGCTGCCCCAGTGAGTGCTGGGGTCTTTCTTGGCAAGCTGTGGGCTCACAGTGAGGGGACAAGCAAGGCCCACTGGCAATGCATTAAAACAAAAAAGAACTTGAGTGGAGCCAGAGGCAGCCAGGCCGAGACTCTGGAACCAGCCCAGGAGGCAAGCCTACCACACTCTTGCTCTGTCCCTCATCCTCCTGCCCCAAAGCCTTGCTTCCCAGGGGAAAGCAAATATTGAAAGCCAGCAGGAGCCTGCCTTTCTCATATGCCCTAGACAAATGACATATGAATAAAATGGAGAAAGCAACACTTACACCACAGGACACCACTGCCATGGTAACTTTCCTCACCCCCAAATACTTACATTGTTGCCTTACTGTCTTAACTCTAGAGATACATGTCACCCTCCCACCACCATGAAGAACAACTCAGGGCCAGCTTCTACCCTGCCTGCTCTACTCTACCACTAGATGGACACTTCCCTCAGCCTCAGCTGAGGAGCCCCACAGGGACAGCCATCTTCCCACCCTCATGGAAACGGAAAATCTTTTCAGCAGCTGAGGTCCAAACCCAATTGGCTCTGACACCCTTTGGTTAAAATAAAAACAATAATAACAACAATGGACAATAATAATAATAACAATAATAATAATAATAATAATAATAAGCGGTGTGTGAACCCTGTAACCTTTAAAACATGGGTTGGTGAGAAGGTGGGGAAGGCTGTCTCTCTTCCCAAACCACTGTCCCTCCAAGTACCTATCAAAAGGGACTGTTTGACTAACAAGAGATGATAAGAGAATGCTTATACCAGGCTGCACAAGGGACCAGGGAGATGTCCCCCCAGTCATAGAAAATAAATGAAAAAAACACGAGAAAGACCACCAAAATTCTGATAAATTACATCAAATCACCAACAGACACATTCTCATTCCCACTATACATACATATGAATATTATACACACTGGTTTTAAGACGAAAAACAGGTCAGACCAATCAGAGAGAGCAAAGGCCCTTAAAGGGCCTGGTACCTGTGGAGGAGAATCAGGACACCACCATCCACTCCAGCCCAGAGCCCTATGCCCCTCCACACATAGCTCTCAGAGAGGGCCAAGGTTCTGGTCCCTGGGCACATTTTGTTCCTTTGACCTCCAGAGGGAACCCCTGGATCAACAAAAACAACATAGGTCATCATACTGGAGTGGGCCAAAACTTAGAAATAATTAAAAAAAAAAAAAAAAAGCAAAGCCTGCTTGCTGAGCAAGTTCCCAGTTGAGACTTGATGGTCTGTCTTAGGGCCCCTCAACTCAGGCCCATTGGAGCCTTGGGGAGACACTGGCTCAGAGTGACTCCCCAATAGGCCAATTGAGCGGGTAGAGACTATGAGCAGACAGACAGCCCTCACGGGGCTCCTGTTCTGGCCACCACAAGCCAGCCAGCAGCCACTTCCCTCCTCTTCCCTTTCTAAGGCTTCTTTGCAGCCAGTGGGACAGTGGAGGGCCAAGTCTCCAAGTGCCACCATGGACAGACCAGGCCTGGCCCCTTCACTTTCTCACAGAGAAATTACAACTTTAGAACCCTGAGAGGTGGCTGAGAGGTGGAGAATATCAAGTCACCAGGAGAATAAAAGACCACCACCCCACCCACCCCACCCACCCCACCCCATAGGGGTTCCAAAGAAAGCAAGCAGGCATGTGGGCCAGCTTGCAGGACTCGGGCTTCATCAGCAACTTGACAGGAGCCTCCCTCTCCCCAGACACTCCTCGCCCTCAGCCTCAGAGACTGCAAGGGACACATCCTAACCTCGGCCTCCCTCCCAGCTCCCAGGAGTCCGGGTGAGGGCCTGCCTTCCCTAATGATATAAGGCAAGCTGCTTTTAGTTTTGTTTTTTGCATAGTAGTTTAAACACAGTGAGGCTCCACCTTCCCCACAGTGCCTTGCTCCAACATCGCCACTAGATCCAGAAAAGAAAGAAAGAAAAGAAAAATTGGTCTTCCCTCCCTTCCAATCACCTTCCTCCCCTTCACTGGGTGAGAAGGCTCCGGGAGGTCCTCACCCCAGCCTGGAGGTAACTGGCTCAGTCCTGGGGAAGGCAGATTCTCCCAAATGACTTTTCAGTCAAGTCAGAGCCAGGACAGAGGAAGGGAGGGCAAAGCTCATGGCCAATCAGAGGAGCAGGTGGGAGGGAGGAAAACCATGTGATACCACACCCCTGGCCCTACCCTCACCTTACAGTTTTATATAAAAAACACCTGCTAGGAAGAATTCTTTGGAGCTCAAAGTGGCTCAGCTTAAGGGAGAAGGCACGGTTTCACTGCATCGTCACACAGAAGTCTGCATTTGTGATGTGGAAAACGATAGAAATTGACAGCACCATTCCGTGGGTGGGTGGGTGAGTGGGTGGGTGAGGAGGAGCACTAGACAGTGGTGGTGGGTGGTGTAGGAAGGAGGGAAGCAGCGGTCCCGAGGGGCCTCCAGAGAAGGGAGGACAGAAGTCTGTGTGGCGAGGACTAGAGCCCAATCCAGGAGCCCTGTTGGCTCAGTTGGGAGAGGAGGCTAGGCCCCATCACCAAGACCACCAGCTGAGCAGGGCCTCTGTCATCAGCTGACCATGGGCTCCACGTCCGCCTCCCGCTCCAAGTCGTCCTGGATCTCATCCGTACTTCCTGAGTCGCTGCTGGCCATGGAGCTGGGGGATGGTGAATTCCTAGAACACATGGAAGCCGGGACTTTCAGAGAGCAGTCTGGGACCCAACAGCCGAGGGACAAGATACTGGACCTGCCCTGACTACATGTCCCTCCAACTTCTGTAAGTTGATGAGCAGAAGGTCAGTGGCTCTTGAGACCCTTTGGGACCCCCTACCCAGGCTTTGGTTGGTCTGGTGCTTGGCTTCTCTAGAGCTCCTTGGGAGCTGGGATCATGGCTCAAACTTGGTTCTTATCCTGCAGCCATCCTTCCATTCCAGGCCTGGACACAAAGCAGGTGCTCAGTAAACCCCAGGTAACTTGGAACACAAAGGGAAGCTACACAGGTTAGGGGAAATGACCCTACAGTTCAGTCTGGGCTCTTCATGATTGCTGAGGGGTCTTTGGCAAGCTCCACTTGTCTATGGTCATAGTGGGTTCTGGGGGATTCTATGTGCAAAAGGTTGGACAGGTTGATCTGAGCCTCTCCACCCCCTGTGCTTCCCAAAGAGCACCTGTTCCCGCCTGTACAGTGACATGGTCATCACAAGGAAACAATCACAATCTACATGAATCTGAGCTTTGTGTCAAGCATTCCCCATGTTCCATCTCACCCTATTATCTGAGCATCCATCCCCCAGCAAGGCCACATGCCTGAAGGGGGCCCCTCTTTGCATGTCATGTCTGATACATTGCTGGTCTCCTAGAGGCACACCCATGTGAGCTGGGTTGGAAGATGGGAAAGGAGGCAGTATTTCTATGGACACAACTCCCCCAGCAATAGTGGGGCATGCCCTGTCCCCTCCCCCTACACCTACTCAGTAGATAATGGAGCCTATGTGCCCCAAGGGCAGAGGCTCAGACTTTCCATCATCAAATCATCCCTGTGGCCTTGCACACACTAGGCCTGACAACGACTTGTTGAGTCAATGGGTTGTTGAAAAAGTTCATGAGATTAGGTACTTAATTCACCTAGTACATAGTAGGTATGCTCTAACCATGCAGGGCTTAGGTGGGTGGGTGGGTGGGTAGATGAATGGATGGATAGATGGACGGATGAAATGCAGTGAAGCTATAAGCTGCAGTCCCAGAAAGTATCCCTAAGGCTCTGTCACAGATGTCCAGGGAGCACAGGCACACAAGGGTGCATACCTGTCTGCGGAGCCTTTGATGAGCCTGCGGCAGGTCTCCATCTGCACATCCAGGCCTCGTTTCATGCTACACATCTCCATGTACTCATGCAGGTGCCGGTTCATGTCGCTCTTGGCTGTGGCCAGTTCCAGCTGGAAGACGTCCATAAGGAACAAGGAGAGTGAGGAGAAATGGACAAGCTACCCCAGGGGCAGCACCTACCACAATCTCCCTCCTCTATTTCCCTGGTGGTTGCGCCATCAAGGCTTCCCCTGAACACCATGCCCTAAAGACCCTGATTCCTGGACGTCCACCTTCCTCTCCCTTCACTCTCTGCACACCAGTCAATATCCTCTAGAAGTGCTTCTGGTCAAAGGAGAATGGTTGCTTAGCAACTCCACAAGTATCCTGTCCAGCTAACCCCCATCTAGTTCAGGGTGACTTCCCTCTGCTCAGTATCTCTAGGCAACTTGCTATCGACCCAAGCTGGAAGCTCAAGTCTCTTTCATGTTGCCGAGCCTTCTCCTGTATCGTGACACCTCCTCCTCCAGCGAAAGCACTGAGCTTCTCCTTTTCCAGCCCAAGAAGAATACTCTCTCATATGGCCAAAGCCAAGCACATTGTCCTGAATGCCACTTCCTGGCTGGGGGTATCACGTAAATCACTTGGCCTCTTTGGACATAATTTCCGATACTTTACCATGAGTGTCCGTACCTACCATAGGGGAGAAAGGAAGGATACCCAGACTGACCAGAGCTGACTTCTGAGTCATGCCAAATGATGCTAGGCACTGGGTAAGCCTATTGTGTGAGCTGTCCTGTCTCAGCCTCTCTAGGGAAGTCAGGGATTGCTGCCCCCACTTTACAGATGAGGAAACCAAAGCCCTAATAAGACTTCTGACTCCTGCCCCCATGCTTGCCCCATTTTGCCCCCATGGGCACCTGACCACCCGGGATCTCAACTGTGTGGCTCCCAGGTGACACAGCAGCAGGCTCCACAGCCCAAGCACTCACCTCAATCTGGCCTATGGTTTCCTGGTACTCCTTGTCTCTCGTCTTGAAGAAAGATTCAGTCTCGTGGATCAAGTTGCCCAAGTTTTCCTCTTGCTGGGGAAATAGGACAGAAGGGACAGTTTAGCTGGAGAGCAGCAGTTGTGGGGGAAGTAGGGATGAGGGATCATGGGGAGGGGGTGCACCCAGTCCCCAGCCCTCAGCAAAGCTGGGCCCCAGACTCGCCTCGCCCTGTAGGTCGATGGTGGGGTTGCAGTTGGTGAAATCCTCCCAGAGCAGCAGAGTGTCCTCGTTCTCTTCCCATGTCAAGCTGTCACAGTCATCATCAAAGTCAAAGGTCTCCCGCCTAGGGGTGACAGCAGAGGGCATGACTGAACAGGACTTCAGGCCATACAAGGGACAGAAAGGGGCACTGTCCCAGTGAGTGTGCACCTCCAAGGTGTACCTCAAAACACGTGGGACTGATAGCCAGAGGGACCAGTGTCATTTATTTTTTTTATTTCTATTTTATGTGTATGAGTGTTTTGCCTGCATGCATGTATGCACACCATGTGTGCACAGTGCCTGTGGAGGACAGAAGAGGGTGTTGGAGCCCCTGGAACTAGAGTTAGTTAGATGGTTGTTAGCTGCCATATGCATGCTTGGAACTAAACTTGGGTCCTCTGCAGAGCAGCCAGTGCTCCCTAGGATGACTGTTTTACTCTTCTTCTTTTTTTAAATTTTATTTTATGTGTATGCGTGTATTGCCTGCATGCAGATAAGTGCACCTGTGTCATGCGATACCCGCAGAGGACAGAAGAGGCTGCCGGATTCCCTGGGACTGGAGTTACGGACAGTTGTTAGCTGCCATGTGGGTGCTGGGATTCGAACCCGGGTCTTCTGCAAGAACAACCAGTGTTCTTAACCGCTGAGCCATCTCTCCAGTCCTGAAAGAGCTTTACTCTTTTAAAACGCAGAATATATCTGTGTCTTATTTGTACAACTAGAAGTCTGGTTTTAAGCCAGGAGTAGAGGAGTACAAGTCTAGAATCCCAGGACTCTGGAGGCTGAGGCAGCAATATCAAGTTCAAGGCCAGCCTAGGTTATATAGTGAGCTCTGACCAGCCTAGGCTAGTGTGAAACCCTGACTCAAAAAAATTCCCCTCAAACACACACACACACACACACACACACACACACACGCATGCACACACACCCTCTAATTAATGCAGATTAAAAACCTTTCCAGCACTCGGGAAGCTGAGGCAGGTGGATCTCTGTAAGTTTGAGGCCAGCCTGGTCTACATAATGAGTTCCAGGCCAGCTGGAGCTGCAGGGAGACCCTGTCCCAAAAAGGTCAAAAAAAAAAAAACCAACAACAAAAGACAAAACCCTTTTCTTCTCAACTCCAAGCTTGTGGTTTGTTTGTATGTCTGTAGAGCTGGGGATAGAACCCAGAGCCTTGGGCATGCTAGGCAAGCATTCTACTACTGAGCTATACCCAACCTTCCTTCTTTCACTCATTTTATAGCTCTCGCTGAAGTCTCTAAGATCATTTCTATCATATTCCTCTCATTACACAGATGAGAAGATCCACACAGCCATGGCACATGAGGGTCTGCAAACTTCTATCCCAGGCTCTCCCACCACCTATGCTACTTCCTCCCCCAGCTCCTTCCTAGATCTCCTAGAGCTGTTCTCCACAACAGTGGGTCAGGACCTAACAGCAGTGGCCAGGAGGAATTTCTGATATAAAGCTTCCTAGAGCACCCCTTGGAGTGAGGCCGAGCTGGCGCCTCTGCCCAGCAGCAGTTCCCACAGGCACCTGTAGGTGGCTCCTGTGAGTCAGGGACCAGGGCTTGGGGAGGGAGGGCACTGGAGAGGGAGGTGCTCCTGCTGCACAGCCCCTGGGGTCCACCCATCATCACATCACATAGTTCACTACTGACTTCACTTCCTTCCCAGTGGCTGGGATCTGAAGGAAAGTCCCACTGAGGGACGGCTAGCCGGAAGAGACAGGAAGAGGAATAAAGCAGGAATGGAAAGCCCCCACCCCCACCCTCCTGGGCAGGCTTTGAAGGAGGCTGAAATTCCTCCTCTCTGCTTTGGTCAGAAGCCCAAGCCACTCATCTGGATCAAAATAAAACAAGGCTCTGACATGGGTGTATCATTTAAAGACTCACTAGAGCTGGCGGGAGGGTAGCCTCTGGGCTAGGCCCAGGCTCACAGACATTTCAGAGTGGAAGAAAGAGATCCTAAGTCAGGTCCCTGCCTACCAGGCTAGAGCCACAGGATGGAGGTGAAGGGAGATCAAAGGACTTGTATTTTTACTTAGACAATTAGAAGACCAGACAAATCTGATTAGACATGGAACCCAATGCAGACTTGTCAACATCCCAGTGCCCAGTGCAGAAGGGATCACTTCTTGCCTTAGAGATGGCCAGTGTTCTAACACTCAGAGGGACTTCTGCCAGGAGCCCCTGATTCAGCTCCTTGGATAGGTACCTCTGCACTGTACCACATTTCTGGTCATCTTAAATGAGTCCCTGGGAGCTTCATGAAAATACAGACAGCTGATTTCTTCTGAGAAGCCCTTTAATTCAACCAAATGAAGGTAATTGTGATCTTTGGGCATCTGACCATGACTTCAGTTCAGGAACTTCCACAGCAACGTTGAAAGAAACCTAAAGCCAAGCCCCTCTTAGGGATGGGGCTCAGCTGGTAGAATGCTTGGCTAGCATGCACATGGTCTTGGGGTCAGTCTCCAGCACCGCATAACCAAGCAAGAGTCTCAACACTCAGAGGGTAGAGGCAGTAGGATCAGGGGTGGGGTTCAAGGTCATCCTAGGCTACATAGGGAGTTTGAGGCCAGCTGGGCTACATGGAACTGTCTCAAAAAAAAAAAAAAAAAAAAAAAAAAAAGGAAAAGGGGAAAAATAAGCCCTTATGGGCTGGAGAAATGGCTCAGCAATTAAGAGCTCTGGCTGGTGCTCTCTGCTCTTCCAAAGAACCCAGGTTCGGTTTGCAGCACCCACTTGATGGCTAACAGCTGTCCTTAACTCCAGTTCTAGGGGCTCCAATGGCTCTTCTGACCTCTGTGGGCATTGCATGACGCATACATTACAGGCAAAACATTTCCAGTGATACAGAATGCACTTACACACATGTAAGCAAAACACACATAAAATAAAAATAAATAAATATGGGGCTGGAGAGATGGCTCAGCAGTTCAGAGCACTGGATGTTCTCGCAGAAGACCTGGGTTTGGATCCCAGTACCCATATGACGGCTAACCATTCATAGCTCCAGTTCCAGGGGATCAAATGCCCTCTTCTGTCCTCCATGGGCATTGCATGACACGGGTGCACTTACATACATGCAGGTAAAACAGTCATACACATAAAATAAAAATAAAAAGTTTTAAATAATAAACATTCTTGGCCTTTTTTTTTTTTGAGACAGGGTCTCCCTGTAGCCCCAGCTGTCCTGGAACTCACTAGGTAGACCAGGCTGATCTTGAACTCACAGCAATCTGCCTACCTCTGCCTCCCAAGTGCTGGGATTAAAGGCGTGCACCACCACTCCCGGCAATAATAAACATTTTTTTTTAAAGAAAATCAATCCCTCTAGTCAGTGGAAGATGAGAACATGAGATGGGGGCACTCCATCATGAGATGAACCAAGAGTCAAGGGGCGTCCTTAATACTACCAACTACAACTATCCAAAGGCAGCGTCATCTGCTTCTTGAAGGGAAGTGTCAGGTGAGGCACTCCCAACCCTACCCTGACCCTGCTTATCTTCCTTATGAGTGTCCAGCTCAGCCAAAAAGGGACCAGACAGGGACAGGGATGCAGCAGACAGAAGAGACATCTCTCCCAAGCAGGAGGATGGCTGGGAGGGAATAGAACACTGAACCAAGTTGGTGGGCCTGGCTCTGTCCTAACCCTTGTGTGCCCCTCTGAAATGGTTTCCTCATCTGTATGCTGAAGGACTAGTGGCCTCATCTTTAGATGGGCCAGCTGGGGAAAAGCTGAGCTGTCAGGGTCCAGGTATCTGTATGCATGGGGCTCTAGAGAGAGAGGGTAGGGCATAGGAGGGAAGAAAAGGAGAGCCCAACCCCAACCTTGACACACCTGGTGTCCCCTCCCCATCCTACCTTGGGGCTACATGGATTAAAGTTAAGAAGGATTAGAGTTGAGAACACAGCACTAAACAGGCCAAGGCCACAAGGCCACCCTGGCCCTGGGGCTCTGGTACACCAGTTCTCTGTAGGGTAGAGAAGGGGTGCCCTAAATAGTGGCATTTGCCAATCTCCTGCAATAGCAAAGTTTAAGCTATAAATGTGACATCCCTGAGCCTGACACAGACAGTGTGCATGCACGCACATGTACACACACACACACACACACACACGCACACATGCACACACGCACACAGCTTTCAAGGGCTGGTACCAACCAGCTCTGGCCACCATTCGCATACTCAGGCCAGACTCTCCCACTCAGGCCGCATCCCCTAGTAGGGGGCACTAGCGACAAGCAGCTGGGGTCTGAGTCCCAGCCCTATCATGTAACCACCCTCAGAGCCTCTGTTTTCCTTGTTTTCAAAAGGACAGTGATTATCCTGCCTACTTGAAGGCAGGTGAAGGTCTGGAATCAGGTGCGCTCAAGTGGAGGGCACTCGTGAATTTGATCAAGGCTTTTCCCATGAGCCTTGTGTGTAAACTCACTGGCCCACCAAGGGAGACTCCAGTCTCTCAGACTGAGCCTGTGGCATGGCCTGTTTGGGAATAGCCCACCAGGGTGACAGCATACCACTGGCCTTTCCAGGATTCATGAAGTCATCAGATAGATTCTACACATGAACAACATGAGGACAGCTCAATCCCTTCATTCCCTCCCTAGCTGAAGCAATATCCCCACTGCCTCTTTTAGCGGGGAAAGTTTTCTAAAGGGAAGAAAAAGGTGGCAGGTGACAAAGGATCATGGGCACATGTGTCTGAATTTGGCAGATGCTAGCTAGTCAGCCATGGACCATGCCATGTGTTGAAACAGAAAGCTTTCTAAACTCTCCATTTAAAAATGAATCCAGGGGCAAGGGAGGTGTCTCAATAGGCAAAGTGCTTGTCTTATAAGACATAAGGACCTGAGTTTAATTCCCATATAACAAAGCTAGGCATGGTAATGTGTGCTTGTAATCTCAGTACTGGGGAGGAGACAATTGAATCCCTGGGGCTTACTGACCAGCCAATCTAGTCTAACTAGCAAGCTCCAGGTCAATGAAAGACCCTGTATCCAAGAAATGCTACCTGAGAAATGCTACCCAAGGTTGACCTCTGGCCTTCAAATGTAGGAAAACACACACACACACACACACATCTGGGACTACTCTCAATCTAGCCACCAGTATGTCCCCTGGCTGAATGAGCCGGGATACTCACAGCTGGTTAAACATACGCTTCATCTCGTCGGTGATGTTCATGGAGCCGACCTCTTCATCTGAGAACCGATTCACCTCCCCATCCTGCTCAGAGATGTCATCATCTGAAGCCACCTTACGGTCTTTCTTTTTGGGAACCACCTGGACAGGGAAAGAAAAAATCAAAGTAACTAGGGTGCTTGGTGGAGGTGGAGGGTTGTGGGGGGTAGCCAGGAAGGAAAGTCGTGCTCAGGGGGTAGATGGAGCATGGCTGGCCGCAGGGAGATGCACAGGTCCTCTAAGAAGCAGGCAGTGTTAGCAAGCATGAGGTGGGAGGCATGCAGGGTGGAGAATACAGACAGGACCAAGCCCTAGGAGGCCTGGAGGTTGGTCTAGCTCAGCTCAGCCTTCACCGGAAAGCCGCCCAATGATCTGGGGCAGGGGCAGGCCAGACCAAGGCACTGTCACCTGGGATGTCTCAAAGCCAGCCAGAGAGACCAAGAAACCCTGACAAAGGCCAAAACACCGGCATGCTTCCAGAACCTTCCTTTTACATGCAGAGACAGGGATGGTTCACCAAGCTTCTGCTCCAAGCAGACAAGATCAGAGAAAGGGAGGGCTGCGTGGCTCTCCCAGGAATCAGTTCCTCTGGGAGTGGGGGTGGTATGCAGCAAGAAGGCATGGGATGGAGAAAGGGCTCAGAGAGGTCCCCCAGCTACATCCAGAATCACACACAGAAAGCAATGAACGACACACCGCACTGCCCTGAAGCATAAGCCAAACCATGACCCAAAACTCAGGAAACAGTCTTCAGAGAATGCCTTGATATGCAGGACCACACTTGGACCCTCTCCAGGACTGCCTACCGGTGTCAACCACCTGCCTTCTCTCCTGGGCACCTACCTGTGCACAGAAGGTCAGGGGTTGTCAAGAGATACTTTAGGGGAATGAGAACTAGGCAAAGACTTGCTCTTTTGGAATTCTGAGGCCCAGCTGTCAGAGCTGAAGCCAACTCCCCATCACCAAGTCAGAGCTCCCTCATCATGGGGACAATGCTTGGTCTCAGAAGATGAAGCAACATGACAGGCAGAGGGCACAGGGTAGACCTGGGGACAAGTACTGGAGGTCAGAAGACCCGTGTCCTGGTCCAGATCCACCTTTCCCTTTCTTGGTACATCACACTCTACCCCTAGGACTTCCGTCTCCTCAGCTCTAAACTACAAGTCCCTGGGTCTGTATGTACCTGGGGAAGCCAGAGGACCAAGTGACTACTCTCGGGGTGGGGAGTGAGTGGGATGTGGAGGGAAAGAGGAGGCGGCTGTGGTGGAAGTCAGGGCTCCTCTGAAAGGGTTGGGGTGGAGGCTGGTGAGCGGGAAGGCCCTGGTCACCTGAAAGATCTTGGACACGTCTTCCGAGTTCCGCTGCTGTGCGACATCGCACAGCTTGGCCGTGATATCGATTCGGCGGCAGATGTCCATGTCCACCTTCATGGCCTTTTCTTGGATCTTTGTGTCCAGGTCTGTCATGGGCTGCAGGGAGGACAGCAGGGGTTACATAAGCGAGGGACGGAGCAAGCATGAGGGGGCCAGGCAAAGGAGTGGGGAGACTCCTAGGGGTGGGGAGGCCCCTGGAGTCAATAGGAGGGGATTGATCCTTTCCTGGGGGTGAAAGGTAGGTTGGCACTGCTCAGGGTGGGAAGGGACATGGGAGCCTCAGGACGGAGGATGTGAGACCATGTGTCCCCCTTGGGGCGGCAGGGCACAACATCAATGTTCATTTAGTTGGATCAAAGAAAAAGCAAGACCACGCTTACTGTCAAAAGATACCCTTCAAGGCTGGGGCACAGCTTGCTCAGCAAGGGTAAGATCTTGGGTTTGCTCCCCCAGCAACAGAAATTTTTAAAATGCAGAAAGATGTCCCTTCTTTTCCCACATCCATGCCCCACTGTGCCCCATAGCAGGCCTGCCTCAGATTCTTGCCACAGCTGACAGCAGGCATCACCTAGAAAGAGTGGGGTACCCCTGCACCCAAGTCTGGAGGAGCCAGGTGACCGTCACCTGGGCTCCACAACGTCTTCTAATCACACCAGTCTATGTGTTCCTGAGAACCAGGAGCCGAGCCAGGCTGAGTCACTGAGTCTCTTTTCTGATGGGCTTTCCCAGCAGACTGCCCAATGCCAACCACTGCCCCATCCACGGTCAGTCACTCAGAGGGGCCACAGATGGCCAAGAAGATGCACACACCAGTCATTCCCAACTTGACAAGGCTAACCTATGAGAGGCCTTGGGCCTGGATATTCTCAGATAGGCATGGCCCAGACCACATGGTCACCCCATGCCAGACACCAAGGCATGGGAAGAGTAAAGCATCACAGACAGACAGACGTCAGGGACCCAGGGAGGGTGATGGGTTAAGCAGCGGATTAATGCACCTCTACTCAGACAGAGGGAAGCAATGTGGGGTGGGGGGGGGCAGGGAGGCGCCTGGTCCCTGGATGTATCCCTCATCCTCAGAACAAACCAGCCAGCCAGTACTGTAACTACAAGCCGAGCTCGAGCCTCTGAGTGAATGAAGCGTTTTTGCATGATGGGTATAGGAAGGATATAATGCCTGGGGTGGTGACCAAGGCACTTACGTCACTCATGAGCCCCTTGAACACTACCAGCTCAGCCTTGAGCCGCTCAATCTTCTCGTTCATCTCCTCTTGGATGGCCTCGGCTTCCTGTGCCGCCTGTGGATGGACAGAGATGGGCAGGCTTTAGAGGAGACGAGAGGCTGGATACCTGTGTCCAGAGCCCTGGGCACCCCATGTCCAAGCAAGCTGAGTACCTATGTTCCTTCCCTCAGCCCAGCCTGGCTGCTGACTGCTCCCAATACTTTCTAAAAAATCATTTATGGCAAGTTACAAAGCATGGCAGGTAACAGGAGAAAGAAAGACGGTGGCAAGGAGGCCTGATCCAGGCACTTTAAAATACAAGGCCGTGCCCCGACCTGCAGTTGCCCAACTCTGACCATCTTTGGCCCAGAAAATAACAAGTTTATGTTGGTCAGCCTAGGCAGGCATCTGGAGGTGTGGGCTCGGGAGTGGGTGTGTTTGTATAAAAAAGTCTGGAAGGTCTTATACCAATTGATAAATGAGAGAGCAGAACCATGGATGATTTTGATTCTTTGTGCTTTTATGAACTTTTTCGATGACATGACTACAAATGTTATAAAAAGGTAAAAAGGACAACTTCCCCCCCTTTTTTAAATTTTTCTTTATTATTTTTATTTTATGTGTATGCGTGTATTGCCTGCATGCAGGTAAGTGCTCCTGTGTCGTGCAATGCCCACGGAGGTCAGAAGAGGCTGTTGGATCCCCTGGGACTGGAGTTACGGACAGTTGTTAGATGCCATGTGGGGGCTGGGATTTGAACCCCGGTCTTCTGCAAGAACAGTCAGTGTTCTTAACTGCTGAGAATGCCCACGGAGGTCAGAAGAGGCTGTTGGATCCCCTGGGACTGGAGTTACGGACAGTTGTTAGATGCCATGTGGATGCTGGATTCGAACCTAGGTCTTCTTCAAGAACAGCCAGTGTTCTTAACCGCTGAGCCATCTCTCCCGCCCCCATCCCCCCCTTTAAAAAAAGAAACAGGGTCACATGTAGCCCAGGTTGACCTCAAACTGGAATGTAGCTAAGGATGACCTTGAACCTTGATCCTCCTGTCTCTACCTTCCAAGTTCTGGAATTACAGGCATGCACCACCAGTCCAGTTTAGGCAGGTGAGGCAAGCACTCTACCATCTGAACTACAGCCCCAGGCCGTGGATACTTATTTCAATGTCTCTAACTTTCTTAGAAAATAAACACTTTAAATATTGGAAAAAAATTTTCTGATTTTTTTTTTTTTTCCTGGTGGTGCTAGGGATCAAGTGTGAGGCTTTGAATAACAGGCAAAGTACTCAGTCACTGAGCTGCATCTCCTGCCCAAATTTTTGTTGTGTTTTATTGAAACAGGGTCTCATGAAACCCAAGCTGGCCTCAAACTCATTACACAGCCCCAGGCTGGTCTTTAAAATTCTCCTGCCTCAGCCTCCCTAGAACTAGGGAAACAAGCCAAGAGTGAAGTGCGCCACTCAGGGTTCCCCACAGGCACGTAAGAAACTGAGCCCAAATGCAAGGTGGCTAGGGGAATGTTCTAGGCAGGCAACTGCCACAGAGCCTGTTGGGGCTGGGGCTGATGTGTCTCAGGCTCTCTCCAAGACATCAGTCCCAACCTGGGGGACTTGCAAGTGGACGATCAGAGACATCTGGATACCACCTAGCCCAAGCAGCAGGTGAGGAATCAGAGGCCAGACAGGGAAGTGGCTGACCCCACATCATCCAGTAAGACCCAGATTTCCTGAGTCCTGTGCCTGAGCTCCTCTGCCCTGCAGGGCTCTCTGCTTTGCCCCTCAAAGCCTTCACCCCACAGCCATCCCACAAGCCTCTCCTGCTGGGGACTCTGAGGGCACTTACCTCCTGCAGTGTGTCCACCATGGTCTGAAGGTTCATGCGCTTGGCCAGCTCCTCCTCCCACCTGTAAAAGCCAAGAGGGACAAAGAGGTCAGAGGTTCTCCTCCTGGCAATCCCCCAGTTCCACCCTCATCACCCACACAGGGCAGGGAAGGTGCCTAAGAGAATCCTGTCTGCCTTCCAGGAGCTCCCAGCTTGGGAGTGGAGGGTGGGAGAAGACAGCCAGCTTGGTGCTAACCGTGAGGCCAGTTGGTAGCAAGTGCCACCTTCATAAGCATGGCACTATGGGACACAGACAGGAAGGACCACTGCCCCATGCAAACCAGGAAGGGCTGTGCAGATGCTGCTGCTCCTGCTATTGCTGCAAGATAGAGCACTAAAGCTGGGCCTCAGGATCCTGCTCTGGGCCTGCAAGAAACAACCTTCCCGTGCTGAGCACTGTACTCCCAGGGCCTGTTTGCTTTGCAGCCCACCCTAGCAGCCACAGAAATTGCCTAAGTAGGTGTTGCTATCCCATCTCACAGATGCAGAGATTGGGCTCAGAAAGGTTAATTGTTCTGCTCAAAGGCACACAGCTAGTCCAGAGGTGGGCACAGAATTCAAACCTAGGTCTATCTGTCTTATTACAGGAAAACAACACAATAAAGAGCCCTCCCTCACTTCTTTTTTTAAAAAAAAATTATTATTTTTACTTTATGTATATGCGTATATTGCCTGCATGTAGATAAGTGCACCTGTGTCATGCAGTGCCTGAGGAGGACCAAGGAAGTTGTCAGATCCCCTGGAACTGGAGTTAGGGATAGTTGTTAGCTGCCATGCGGGTGCTGGAATTCAAACCTGAGTCTTCTGCAAGAACCTTCAGTGTTCTTAACCGCTGAGCCATCTCTCCAGCACCCCCCCACTTCTTTAGCATTGATGATGATGATGATTTTGTGCTCTCTCGCTCTCTCTCTCACTCTCTCTCTCTCTCTCTGAGACAGGGTCTCTTTATAGTCCCAGCTGGCCTGGAAAACCAGGGTGGTCTTGATCTCACAGTGATCCACCTGCCTCTGCCTCCAGAGTTCTGGGATTAAAGGTGTGTATCATGCCCAACACATTTATTATTTTTAATATTTACATGTAGGAGTGTTTTGCCTGCATCTAAGTACACCATACATATGCAGTGCTAGCAGAGGCCACAAGAGGGCGCTGGATCCCCCTGGAACTGGAGTTAGGAACAACAGTTGTTAACCGCCATGTAAGTGCTGGGTACTCAACCTGGGTCCTTTGCAAGAGCAGACAGTACTCAACGGCTGAGCCATCTCTCCAGCCCCTTCTTTAGAATTTATTATTTCCCAAACCCTATACCAAGGACACTGTACTACAGCTTTTTTTACGCATGTGTTGGTTAAAGATGAACAGGAAAGAACAGAGGGGTATAAGCACAAGAGGAACCACTGTGTAACCCAGCATTAACCACAGTGCACCCCAGCATTAACCGCAGGATGGGGAGGAGCAGCTCCAGAGAGCTGTCACCATCTGGGAGGATTTTAACAAAGGAAACAGTACCAGCTCCCCACTTCCTCCATAGTGGCATATTCCACATAATGCAATTCACCCACCCCCCACCCCCCCACTCCCCCACTCCCGTGCATGGGATGTGTGCCACCATTACCATCCCCAAGTCACAGCAGATAAACAAAGCAGGCCTGAGAGCCCCCAGCCCAAGGTGGTATGAGGGCAGGGGGAGCCTGGACTTAACCTCCAAGGCTGAGCTCCCCACCAGAGTCCCCTCCTTGCCCCCAGGAGCTGAGGCGGTTCCTGTTCTCCTCTGCCTTGGGAAAGACAGACAGCTTCTGTCTGTCTTGCCCCATGCCGCCCTCCCTAACAAGGCTGCAGAGCAAGGAGGTCTGAAGTCTCTTAAGATGCTGTCAGGCCCATCTAAAAATAGGCCAGGGGGGAGGACTGGATGAAGGGCCGGTTACGTCACCAGTTTTTGAAAACAAGAGAAAACGGATACTGTTTGCACACACAGAGGAAAATTCCTCCTCTCTCCACACAAGCCAGCCCTACTGGGCTCCCGGGGGGACACGTGCCCTCCTAGTCCACTTCCGTCTTTACCAGTCTGACGTTAGCCGCATGGCAAGGCCCATGTCTGCCATGGGCTCCAGAATCTGGATCTACAGAGTACAGAGGACACAGAGGAAGCCACAGGGGGCAGGGACCTCAGGGCCTCACATGGGCAGGACCATGTCATTAGATGCCCCTATACAGAAAACAAAATGAGATTCTGGGTGCACAAGTCATTTGCTCAAGGCACATAGTACATCACAGACAGGGTTGAGTAGAGATCCAGGCCATCTATCACTAAAAAGGGCAGGGTCATTCTGAGGGACAGGAGTGCTGGGCTACCCTCACCCCTGCAGGCAGCCCAGGGGCATCTGGAGCTTCCTTCAAGAGAGGTGATGGCCTAGGACACAGGTCCCAGCTGAACCATCTCTCCTGGCCACGCTGCTCCAAGCAGGAGGGCAGAGGAGGGCAAAAGAGGCAGAAGAGAAAGAGAGACGTGCAGTTAAGTCTGACTTCTGGGGTCAGCCCCTCTCACACCAACAACAGGAACAGACTAGCAGGAGTTGAGGGAGGGAGAATGAAACACCACTGGTCCCCCAGACACCCTAGAATGCAGTAAAATTCCCCTAGCTTTCCTTCCCAGCAACCATCTAGTCAGAGGCCAGGCAGGAACCAACAGACCTTTTACACAGCTGGAGAAGTGACTTGGCCCACCCCAACTCAGAGTGTGAACTGAGCCATGTATCTGGATGTCAAGACAGGAACAACAACCATCAGTTGGCAGACCTTGTCTGGGTCTCACATACGGGATTCATTCCCTCATATACACATCATTGGTTTTCATGTAGATTACTAATACACTGTGGTAAAGAGTTTTTATCCAAAATCACTTTGCAGATGAAGGAGCTGGGGTTCTGAGAGGTAAGGTGACATATCCAGTCACACTGCTATGTAGGTGGCTGGGTTAGCTCAGCTCTGATACAGCTAGATCCTGCAGGGGAGTCACCCAGCCATTTTGTCCCCACATAGAGCCCAACTCAGCAGGTCTGCCCGAGGCAAACAACTCCCAAGAGATGTTGGTCTGCAGATGTTGGCTGGCATTCTGGGTGGCCACATGACCCAGTGCCTCCACTTCCCAGTCCCCGTTCCTCTTACCTGCACCCACCCCCCCATCATCCTTCCCAGACTGTACCCCAAGGATGGGTTTGCACAAATGACATCGTGGGCCTTTTATTTCCAAAGCCAGGCTAGGAAGCTGGTCCACAGACCCCAGATGGAAGCCAGACCCTGCAGGTGGATAGCAGCTGCCACACAGACTGAGCCCACAGCCCCTTACAGACACTGCCCCCAGGGGTGATGGAGGGAAAACCTGGCTCAGCCAGTCGGAGTGCTGATGGTGCAGAAAGCTGCTGCCCTTCAGCCACTGGGCTTGCCAGGGTGAAGGGCCAGACGCACGGTGGATCTTCCCCAAATGCCCCATGTTCACTGCGATTTAGCCCAGAGCCAGGGAGCACCCAGCATCACCAAAAACTGGTCAACCAAGTTGCTGGCTGGGGTGTTAGCCCCTGCTCCCCAAATGCCATCCTGCCCCTGCCTGGAGCTACTACCCACGGAGGGCAGAGGGGCGACTGGCACATACAAGGACAGAGCAGCAGAAAGACATAGGAGAACCTGCTGTCAGAAGGTGATACACATTTAGAGACTTGGTGGATATGCTTTCCTGCAAGCCTTTATTCCCCAACTCTCAGCCCTACAGCACAGCAAATGATTCTCCCATAGTCACCACTGCTAGGCAAGCACACCACGGTGTAGCTCTGAGCTGGACAGAATGATCAGGGTCATCTTCAAGAGACCACCTTTTGGGCAGGAGGGTGAGCGGTTCTACCTTAACCTGACACTTCATCCTTTTGATTTCTCTCAGGTGTGGGATGACAGAAACAAGAACACAAGAGGACCACCTCTAGGTGTGTTTCCATGTTAGGCACCCATCCGTGAACGCACAAAATAGCACTTAATCCCCCAAGGACTGTCTCCACGGTGCAGATGAGGAAACAGGCTTAGCCATTAGGTAATCTTTCCCCTTTCCCTCCCTCCTCCTCTGCCTCCTGAAACCCTACCCCCTTCTCCCAGGCTGTCCCAAGTGTTATTTTCTCTCCAGCCACATCTACTTCAATCTCCACAACAGTTTTCCTTCTCAGAATTCCACAAACATGAGGTAACCAGGCCCAGGAACCATGACAGGTCTTCCTAGGTGGCCTGGCCATCGTGTGCTGTGGCTTACAGATCTCCCCTGAAGGGGCCAGCCCCATTAAGACAGGGAAAGCGATGAGCCTCACCACGAGGCTACCTCCACCTCCACCGTCTTCACCACACCATGGTCCTACGGCACCTATATCACCTTGTTTTGAGCAGCCTGGGCCCTAACTAGATGGGTAAAGAGGTATTAAGAGGTAAGATTTCCAGAGTGGTGGGACAAGAAGTACAGAGAGCGGGTCTAGAGTCCTTGTGTTGGTCAAAGAACTAGTTATAGTCATTCCATGCTGCATTCCCTGCACCTAAAGCCCTACCACCCCTTGGTAAGGAGCGGAATATTTATTGAATGGAATGGGAGTCTATTCTTCTACCATGTGGGAGTCTGTGCTGGATAGCTTTAGTGTCAACTTGACACACCTGGGTTGAGGGAGCCTCAGTTGGGGAATTGCTTCCATGACTGGCCTGTGGCCATGTCTGTGGAGTATCTTCTTGAACATTGAGTGATGTGGGAGGGTCCAGCCCACTGTGGATGGTGCCACCCCTGGGCAGGTGGGCCTGTGTTGTATAAGAAAGTAGGCTGAGCAGGGGCCAGGGGAGCAAGCCAGTAAGCAGTGTTCCTCCATGGCCTGAACTCCAGCTCCTGCCTGCAGGTTCCTGCCCTGAGTTCCTACCTTGGGTTCCCTAATGAACTGTGACCTGGGAGATATAAGTCAAATAAACCCTTTCCTCCCCAAGTTGGTATTTTGTCACAACAGCGGAAAA